GAAATCGTTTTTTGAGATCTGAATGGCTCAAGATTCGAACAATTCGTAAGATTTTAAGATTTAAGCAGGTTGAAATATTTCCTTTTTTCATTTTTCACTTCCTGCGGCACACTAACTTGTAAAGCAAACAGACATCTATAGCTCGTTTGGTAGAGCATTTGGAATTGTAAACGCAGTCGGGCAATTACTTGGAATGGCGATTAGCATTCTAAATGGTCACCCGTGATTCTTGAAAAAAGAATGCAGCGTATAGGTACTATACCGAACCAACTACTTCTAGAGTAATTGGCCACCACGAGAGCTTTAAAGCTCTTTTCCTTGGATGTAGGTCAAGGGATCGAATCTCTTGATCTACATTCTTGTCCAAGATTTTCTGAAAATTTCACCAGTAGGTATAAAGGCACCTGTCCCTCTGGGTTCCCTGGGTACTGGGTACCATACCGGTGCATGACTTTGTTATTGAGCAACGTTGAGGATTAAGGAAACAAAAGTGCCTAGGACAATATTGTGACACGAATATCAGAGCTGCAAGCAACACAAGAAGGAAAGCTGGCCAAATGTATTAGGTGTATTTTTATTTTCAGTACTTGTATAACAAACTTCGATTTGAACGCTATTTAGAATGCGTAAAGGTTGCAAGTACAGCAGTATATGCTAAACGACTACCACAAAGCAGAAAAAGTATCAAAATCAAGTAAAACAACGAAAACCATTATCCGAGAACTCTACCATACAACCGCAGGAATCAGGAGTAAAAATCATGTTTGTGTCTGTGTTGAAAACCAGAAGCTAAGTGGAATCTGAGAATATGTTAAGAGGATATATTAGGTCACTGTGCCCAAATGTTATCTTTACTCCTTGTTAGCCTTCTAACTGGTATCAAAGGGTCATTCGAATGAACATATGTCGTGATACAAAGAACCTAACCTGTTTCAAATGCAGCTGAGATTGAGTCAGTCAAATCCCACTATTTTGGCTGCACAACTATTTCAGACAGATTGGAGCAAGATTTACCTGTTTTGATGGCCACATTGGTTCTCAATCCCCTTTACTTGAAAGTAGTTTCCTTATGAAAGATTTGGAAACATGCGAAAACCCATGAAATAAAGATTTCGTTTTAATCAGGGTGGAAAGGAGGCATTTCTCGACAGGAAAAACCAGCTCATTTTAAAAGTAGTTTCATCGCCACATAAACCTGATTGCAATAAACAATAAGAAGAAGCATAGAATGAGAATAAAAAGTCTACAATATCAGGATGTTATTCTTGGCTAAAGAAACACACATAGATGATAAACAGAAATGCATTACAGCACGATGGTCTTCCTGGTTAAAGAAGTATAGCAGGATCATAGATTGTGCTGAGAATCAAATGGGAAAACTCGAACCTTTTATTGGTCAACTACGCAAAAGGAAGTAGCTTAAAGCAAGTTCCTGATGGGAGGCATCCAAAACGTGTGTGTCATCCGTCATCCTTGTCGAACTTCCAAACAGAAAGAGACTCAATTGGGGTTCCCTTCCACCCCATAATCAGGCCTTTTCCATTCAGCTCTAGAGTGCAAGAACTCCAACGAGGATTTTTTTTAATAACCAATTGTGATTGACACAAAGCCAAGTCGCTCAATGCTATTTCAACGATGCCAAATCTTGCCAGTAAGCTCTCCAAAACTCAAGCTTTTCCTGGCGATGAATCCTCTCTTCACCCTCAGTTGTTATAATGTTTTGGATCCCCTCCCAGATGAAAACTCCTTCTAAAAGTACCCTGCAGGAATTCTCTCTTTCCATGCAATCCTCATGACAATTAAAAACAGCAGCACAAAGATAAAGTGCTGCATCAAAACGGTCCAGGAAGTTAGGTGTGTTTGTACTCGCTTCTATTTCAATCATCACCATCACACATGGTTTGAGTTTGGCTATGGTTCCTACAAGAGATTCCAAGTTATCAGGCGATGCTAACAAACTCGCCGGACACATTTCTTAGTAAACAGCCAGCACCTCATCTTCTGCTAACTCAAAGAAATCTTGCTTAAGATCCCTCATTTCTGATACAATTAATTTAAATTTAAAGGGTTCGTCGATGGTTTCTGCAAAACATGATAACATTTTACCTATCTCCTCAATCCTCTCTTTGTGTGGTCCAACAGCAGTTATCTTCAGAAGTTCAAGTTGACATTCTTGCCTTCCAGCATGAGCTTGCATGATGATTGGCCAGTGCGATCCGCTTTTGATTCCTAAATCAACTATATGAACCCTTTTAGCTGCTGCCAGATTGTCCACTATGGCCTGAATTGCAGTGAACTGAGTAACTTGACAGAAAGGGAGTTCCTGCTGACACTCTACCACAGCAGGCTGAAGAGTTGTGAAAGCCTCTTCAAGCGTTGGCATCCTTTGACCATGGTTCGAAGTCTCGGCCGAGACCGAGACGACTCGGCCGAGTCGTCACCGTCTCGGCCCCTATCGATACGATACCGTGACGAAACGATACCGAAATACTTGACTCGCCGAGAAATCGGCCGAGTCGTCACCGTGACGGATTGACTCGGCGAGTCACACCGAGTCATTCCGAGTTATCCCGAGTCAAGACGAGAAATCAGCCGAGTCACACCGTGACGGATTGACTTGGCCGTTTCTTTTACTATTTTTTAATTATTTTTATTTAGCATACTTTTTTATATTATTAACAATTTTTAGAATATTAAATACTTTAAAATTTGTGTCTCACCGAGACCGCGACCGATATGCCGAGACCGATGTGGAACGTTCCGGGCCGCGACCACAACCGCGACCGTGACTTTGAACCATGCCTTTGACTTCCTTCTGATGCTTCAGGAACCACAACCCCAGTTTCTCACGAGATCCTCTCTTGAAGAGCCGCAGAAAAATAGTAACGAATGATCATTTCCGTCACTTTGATACTTTAATCTAAATCATGAAGGGGTTATGTATAATTTTTGAAATCATAAGGGGTTATGTAAAAAATACTAAATCACAGGGGATAAAGTGTAATTTGCCCTGAAATAAAACCGGGATGTACCATTTGAAACATTATTATTTAATCTAGTCTTGTGTTTCAGATGAAAAGCCGACTAATGCGGGAGAAGTTTCTGAAATCCAAACAGATGTAGCAGCAACCTGCTGCTGTCCTCTACTAAAGTATATGTATAAGAGTTCGATCTCCCAACAAGTTAATGTATGATAGGTCTATATAATCAAGCATGTTTCTTTGTCCATAGATAGTTGTTGGGATACTATGTAACTTTTACAAGAAATAGTTATTTGTGCAAATGAGGCTGTAATCTTCCCAGTTTTGGAAGTAGTGAAACCTGTTAGAGATTCTGCTTCTCCTCGGTTTAATCCAAAGATTTTTCTTGCGTGACTTTGCAAGAGCCTTGAATCAAATAAAATGGTGAACGGAAAAATCAGTCATGCGGTTCAAATAAAAAATGGAGCAGGAGACTTTATAGGTCTGCTTTCCTAAAAGATGACATTTCCATGAGAATAACTTCGAGGAAAGTCAGAACGAAGTTCATACTAGATACATTTGGCTTTACCAATGACCTGATATATTAGTGAAAATATAGATATTCGATGGCCATAAAAAGTGAAAAATAAAAATCAACTTAAACATAAATATTTTTAGCACTGTCTCTGATGGATTTGAGCATTAGAGTCGTCTATTTCCGTTCTAAGATGCATTGTTTTCTCGCTTGAAGTTTAAGACAAACTTTTGATGTGTACATTTCAATGTTTAGATTCTTTAGAAGTACACCTGATTTTGCTTTAAGTAGCAGTTCATGATCACAGACTGGCTAATTTGAGCATTTCTGCGGTACAATGATTCTAGAAAGCTTAGGGGAAGCAAGGATGTAATAGCAGTTGATCATCAATGCAATTCTCACAGACTGCTTCAATAAGTATTATTTTCATCCATTCAGCCAAGAAGTCACTCTCACTGCGTATTTTTTTCTTCTAGCATCAGGTAGTTCTTTTATAAATTGTAATCCGGTTTTGGAACTCACTGATTAACTTGCGTGATAATGCTGTATAGTCACAGACAAAAATATGACATTCTTGTCTCGAAAACCCCTCACGTTATCATTTCCTTTGGTGATGAGTCTTGCAGGTTGAAACAACAAAAGGGCATCTATCATCTGTTTTACAATCTTTTAAACAATATTCAATCTTGTATTCTGGAACAGTATTTAGTTCAAAAAAAAATCTTCAATTCGTTATCCTTCAGGTGTTGTAAACTTCGGTTTTCAAGCCTAGGATGTGGCTGGCAGCACATAGAAGCTTCAACGAAGTTAGAAAACTAAATTGGATTCTGTAGTATCTCGTTGCTGTGAATGATCAGGATGAGAACATTTGTTAGCCAGTGGAGCTGTTTTTTGTTATACTTTGAAGATGAACTAGTTAGGCACATATTGGATAGAACCCTGTATCTAATCTCTAAATCATTTAAATAACAGCAAGATTGATTCTGAATATGTTAAAAAGAGTTCATTTAAGTTCTTATGTGCATCTCCTTCCTGCATAATTACCTGGAATGGCTGTTTGAAACTGCAAAACATCACGGTTCCTAGATTCATGTTAACATGATTGATAACAAATAACTCAAAAGCTTTTCAAAAGCCAACATTTCATGCAGTGGAAACTCAAGTTTCCTACTGTGAAACATAATGTCTGCTTCGTTCTGTCATTCAGCTATTGGTCTACAAAGATTGCACTAGTTCATGATTCTATGCTGGCTTTTCCATGCTCCACTGACGAGCTGATCACTATGGAACTGCTTGTTGGATATTCAAGACAAAGAAAAGTACGAGGAGCAAATAGTCTATAAATCCTTTCATTTCATTCACTCTTAATTAAAATTACATATGAGCTGAACTTGTAGATGATGCCCTAACATGATCAACGCAAAGACTCCTTGAAATACTAATTCTAAGACACTTGTATGAAGTATCAGTAGGCCAACTCGATGAACTAATCCCAAGCACATTAATCAACACTTCCAGACACTGAGCATATGAATTGGAGTTCCCTTCCACCCTATAGTCATGCCTTTTCCATTTACCTCTAGAGTGCAAGAACTCCAACAAGGATTGCTTTTCGCAACCAAGTTTGCTTGACAGAAAGCCCAGTTGCTCAACGTAATTTCAACCATGCCAAATCTTTTCAAGAAAGCTCTCCAGAAACCAATACTTTCTTGGCGATGAATGCTTTCCTTACCTCTGGAGGTAATAAGATATTGAATCCCTTCTCGGAGAAACATTCCTTCAATAATTGCTCTGCATGAACTGTCACGGTCCATGCAACTCTCAAGACAATCAAAAAGAGCTGCTGAAACTGAAAGAGATGCATTAAATCGATCCATGAAAAGAGGCGCATTTGTATTTGCTTCAATTTCAATCATCACCATAACACGTGGCCTGAGTTTCTTAATAGTTGATAGAAGAGATTCTAAGTGATGAGGCCATGCTAACAAACTTGCCATTCGCAGCTCGGAGTAAATTGCAACTACTTCATTAGCTGCTAACTGGAACAAATATTGGTCAACATTCTGCAAGTCTGAAACAACTATTCTGAATGCAAATGGAATGTTCAAGCTCGCAGCAAAAGATGATAGCTGCTTACCTATCTCTTCAATCATCTCTTTTGATGGTCCAACAGCAGTAATCTTGAGAAGCTCAAGTGGGCATTCATGTCTATTAGCAAGAGCCTGCATCAAGACTGACCACTGTGTACCACATTTGATACCCAAATCAATCAAATGAATTCTTTTAGCAGATCCAACATTATCCAGTATGGCTTGAATTGCAGTGAATTGGGTGATTCGGCAGAAGGGAAGTTTAGCATGACATTCCATCAGAGCAGGATGCAGACTCAGAAAAGCCTCTTCAATTGTTAGATCCCTCTGATTTCCTTCCAGTTTTTCTTGCAGAACCTCTCCTCCCGTCTCCATGGTGATCTTTTCTTGGAGAGCTTCAACAAAATAATAGACTACTCTTTGAATTGGATTACCACTAAGAGAAGCAGAACCTTGACAGATGTTGAGCAAATTTCTTGCATGAACAAATTGTTGGTTAGAGAAGTTAAAAGCAGCAGCTTGAAGTAGTAGTGCAAGTTCAAAATCTTTGTAGTTCTCAGGTGACACTGCAGATTTAACATAAGAAAGATCACCTGATCCTATTTTCCTGGCCATTTTGATAATGTCAACAGTTGATAATTCCAGCGACAGAGGACAGGAAATGCTGGATGGTTCACTGGTGGGGCTTTGCTCAGGCATCACTTTGCTTTCGTGATGTTTCTTTATGAGATGCAAGGATGCTGCAGGAAGAAGTTGGTTTTTATTCTTTGCTTCAGCAAGAAAAGAGATTGGCACTGTCGTTTGAGCTCCCTTTGTGATTTCTTCATGTTGTGGTTCCATATTTTCCGAGTTACTTTTTTGAAGTTGTAGCTTGGTTCTCTCCTCCAATTTGTGGGCTTTTAAACAGGAAAATATGTGTAAATTTTATTTTATAAAAAAAAAAGCCGATGAAGCTCAATTGAAATTCTCAAGAAAGGCCAAAAGACATAAAATTTTGTCTCCCAAATGCTTTTCTCATTCACAAGAAATGATCACTATATTTTCATGGAATATTTTAGACTTTGTATTCTTCCTAATGGCCGTTCACATGGACAAAAGGACTTCTTAACTCTCTGCCATTTGTTTCATTGCTGAGGGCAAATGTATTATTATTTAAAAAAAGATGTGATGTTAAGCCAATGATAAGCCACTCTAGACATCAGAAATTTTGGTTTGGTCTACTTGGTTGCAAAGCCGTCTAATGCAGAAGGAAGAACTAAAACCCAAAGCACAATTACCCATCAGCTTACGACAAAATTTTGATCTCTCAAAACATTCATAGTTCTTCATTGGTCTACCACCTAAGCATATTCTTTTGTCAAATGGATAGTTGCTTCCCAGTCTTTAATCGAATGTCATTAAGATAAGAATCTAGCTATAATCTTCCCAATCTCTTTGGAAGTATTGGCTCGTCAACAGCCATACTTAAGTTAAACAAAAAAACTAGATTTGGAAGCTAGGATCATAATTAACAACCTCATGAGGGTTCATATGAAATCTATAGATTTTTTCCCCCTTTTTGGGGCAAGCTATAACCTTACATTAAGAATGTGCAGGCCAAACCTTCAGTTGTCATGAATCTTTGGGGAGAGAATATTGCAACGCTTCCTGAATGGTGTAACACTTCTTGAAAGGGTTGCTATTAATCGCGAATTACTTGTACAATTTCATAATAGAGATGTAATATAGCTTACTGTTCGTATGGTTCATCATTCATGCATCTCAAAATTTAGTTATTTGGACCGCACATCTTGAAATTTTGCACCGTTGCCCAAATGATGGCCGTGATTCACAGACAACCGTCCTAGCCCCTTTTCAGAATCTTTGGAGCGCTCTGAGAAGTGTGATATGACCTACACTTTCTCAGTTATTGTACTGTTGTACTATTATTCCTGCAACAAGAATGATCCTAGCTATGACAAACTTTGTATGTCCAGATATAGTTCAAAAGAGGACCAACGTTAGTCCAACTTTCTATTGCAGAGTTGTAAGAGTTCTGCTTCATTTGAGGTAACATCAGTTCTGAATACTAATTTGAACATACTCTAGGCCCAGATGAAGCTATTTGAAATAAAAATAGGAGAGAACTGCAGAGAACCTCAGGGAAGAATTTGCTCATTGATATAATTCAAATGCAAGTCTTACGTACAGATTGCTTTGATAATGTGTTATGTTTCAATAAAAGCTTTTCTTTTGATTATTGTGATTAATTTTCATCTCCAACGTAATTTACAGATTGCTTCTACACCATTATTGCTCCCTTTCTTCGAAATGCATCACCAGCACTGCCATATGGTTTTTGGACTTGTTGGTTAAACTTTTCAATAATGCTCTAGAGAGTGCCAAAAAAAACATCACATTGTGACGAGAAGAACAACGAAAAACCTAGAATGCAAAGCATCATGGAGCAGGGGGAACAACTCTTAAGAGATACGGATATCATATTAAAAGATCGAAGGAATTTTGATACTTTTGCCGATTCTTTTGTCCAAGCCTGAACAAAAGCTTAGGAAAGATAGTGAATGCAGAATACTTCACATAAATTTCCAAATCAACTTTGTACAGACCATCAGATTTGCCAAGTCTTTTCTTGCTTCGCTCTTAGGCTCCAATGCTCCTTCAAGCAATCAAAATCCCAAAACGCACAATGTGTCTTTTCGAGATTCCTTTGCTCAACCTATGAGCATAAAAGCAAAGCAGAGAGAAGATCAACAATTACGATGTTCTATCTACAGAAATCAGGATAAAATGTCATGCAGCAGCAGATATTGGAGAAAGGGAGTAGTCAACTTGAAAACCAGGTGTGATTCAGCTAAGTGAACATCTCTATCTTTATTTTACTGAGTGCGCAATAGAAGACTAACTTAACAAAGTCGTGATATTTATAAGCAGAAAGATAATACTTAAGAGAAAAAAGTCCAGGTACTACCTATTGCTAGCTCCAGAAATGAATGCTTTCTTTGTAATAAATCTCTAGCTTTGCCTTCCGTGGTGATAACATTTTGAACCGCCAGCCACATGAAAACTCTTTCTATAGTTGTTCCGCCTGGATGGTCACTGTCCATGCAATCCTCAAGACAGTCTGAAACAGCAATGGAGATTGTAATTTGTAAGTGCCGCAATAAAACAGTCCATGAAAATAGGCATATCTGTCCGTGCTTAAACTTCTGTTATCACCATAACACGAGGATTAAGTTTGTTGAAAGTTTCTACTAGAGAAAGTAAGTGATCAGGCCATGCTAACAAATTTACTATATGGAACCTTGAGTGAACTGCCAATACTTCATCAGCTTCTAACTCAAAGAAATCTGCCTCAAGATACCTGATCTCTGAGACAACTACCTTGAATGCAAAGGGTACGTTGACGGTCTTGGCAAAAGAAGACGGAAGACAGCTGATTACCTACCTCTTCAATAATCTGTTTTGATGGTCCAACAGCAGTTATTTTGAGAAGCTCAAGTGGACAATCATACCTATCAGCAAGAGCTTGCATCATGACAGGCCAATATGACCCGGTTTTGATCCCCGGATCAACCAAATGAACTCTTTTGGCAGAAGCCACATTGTCCATTATGGCTTGGATTGCAGCGAATTGGGATATTTGACAGAAAGGAAGTTCATACTGACATTCTATCACAGCTGGTTGTAGACTCGTAAAAGCCTCATCAACTGTTTGCTTCCTTTGATTTCCTGCAAGTGCCTCTGAATGAACCATTGTGCCCACCTCCCGTGTAATCCTTTCTTGGAGGGCTGTAGCGAAAAAGTAGGCGACTCTTTGAAGTGGATTACCAGTGAGGAAGGCAGACTGTACACAGATCCCAAGCGAATTACATGCAGAGTCAAACTTCTCATTTGAGAAGTTAACTGCAGCAGCCTGAAGTAGTAGTGCAGGTTCAAAATCTTTGTGCTGATCATACGACAAGCCAAGATCAGCGTAGACATCATCACTAATCAAAACAGAAGCTCCACCAGAACTGATAGAGGTGAACTGGAGCAATTTTGCTCTAGCCATTTTGATAATTGCATCAGCCGGGAATGCTAGACGGCTAGGACCAGAAAAACTAAAAGATGCTGCATTGCAGCCCAAATCATTCAGTTTTTCCCAACTTCGCTTCACTTTTTTTTTTAAAAAAAAAAACTTCGTTTCACTTTACTTTCATGCGTCTACAAAAGTTGTAATGATTCTAAAGGAATTGATGGAAGTTCACTCTTTGCTTTGGCTAGATGATACATTGTTGCTTTCTTTCTCTGCAGTTTCTTGAAACTCAGTCGTAAATGTTCAAGAAATTTCAGAGCACAGCCCAGAATCGTGTCTTTTCATGATCTTGTTCTATCCATTCAACATTACTTCCTCTGAATCTACTCTTTCATCGCATAAATAGCCGCTCCAGAACTGCAAAAAAAGGATTTTTTTTTTTAATTCTTAATGCATAACTTACTCTTGTTCTAATGTGTCATTCGCATATAAAGGCCGCCAACTGCTTAGAAGAAACTAATTTGACATGGATTCAGTTTTAAAATAGTTACGATCAGAGACTCTTAGGCCCTGTTTTTTTTTCCAGGATTCCAGTGAGGAAAGGAAAGGAAATGGAAAGCAAATTCCTGGTTGGTTACGATAAGAGCTGCGGCTTGAAGTCTAACTCAAGTTCAAAATCTTCCTGCTTTTTAGGTGGCAGACCAGAATCAGCACAAACACAGTCACTGACTACCATAGAGACAACATCAGAGTATTGAGAGGTCAACCAAGACAATCTTGCCCTGGCCATTTGGATAATACAAGCGGGTGACATTTCTTTAGAGCAGGAACAGGAACTGCTGGATGGTGCAATAGAGCTTTGCTTAATTAATCTTTACTCGACCGATTTGCTTCATTTTGCTCTCATACTCCTTCAGAACATAAAATGATGACAGAGGAATTGTAGCTTTATTTTTCGTCTCTGCTTGTTGTGAGGCCATGGTTTCCAAGTCTTACTGTCGAAGTCGTTGCTCAATCCTCCCGTCCATTTCCTAATTGCTTTTAAACGAAATTGCACTTGTAAATGAAAATTTCTCAACCCCATGGACCTCGTTTAGAAATTAACAATGATTAGATTGGTAGATGTTAAAACTACAGAACAACATTAACTGTTGCATGTTGGTAAAGACTTGTCATAAACCTCTTGGTTGTTTGGAGCAGTACGGTAATGTGTGAATTGGAATCGGACGGTGATCAAGAAAGCATAAATTTTGAAGAAAGGCAGAAAGCTATAAGATGGTGTTAACTTTCTTCCTAATTTCTCCGGACACCTAATTTTAAGAATTGTAAGATATCCACTGAAGAAAAAGGCAAGCGTCAGGAAATAAAGCAAAGGCATAAAGTGTAAAAGAAGTAACATGATGCATCAATACTAGATATAATAAAAATGAAAGAGCTGGCTTTATGATCTCAATCTCAGCCGCTGTGGCATCCATTTCAAAGTGGACAATACAAAGGACCTCGAAAGGACAGAGGCTCAACTAGGTAAGTTAAAAGCAAACAGACTGTCATGCAATCAACTATGTGCAGCTAGTGCAATACATAATATGCCTGGACATTCCTGGGATCTCACATTTTACAGAGGCTGCAGGATGCGGATCAATTATCCTTCTATAAACGTCGGATACATCACTTGCAGATTCCATTTCCAAAAGGAAAACATATAGATAGTCACCGATCAGCAATTCCAATCACTGAAGTGTCAGCAATTGCTCTGGAAAGAGAAGAAACAAAATCAGTAAAGATCATGAGGAAAAAAGCAAATGGTTAGAAGTACAAAAGAATTGCATAAGTTGATGAGAGAAGAATAATCATGACAGAGGTAATATACCTATATAAGAGAAACATCCGCTTGGGCTGGTCTGGTAGTGGAGTTGAATGACAGAACATCAGAACTCATACCATGTGTAATTTCCCTATAACCTGCGATGGGATACTGAGTTGCAATGCTCTCCTCTACACTCTTTCCTTCGTGTGAGAAGTTCACCGTATCGGCGGCCGGGGCCGGTGCTCCTGGAGTTTCTACCGGAGCACTTGACTGAGGAACAAAAACACCAGTTCTTTTTGAGGAAAGATCTAAACGTTCAATCATTCTTGCAACTCCAGCAATGCCTGCACTCATCTCGCGCTGAACTCCTCTACCCAATTCCTTGACCGTAGTATTGCGAGCCAACAACTTATCCTTAAAACCACGTGTGCTTTTTGTAATTGTTTCCTTATACCTGAACAGAATTGTTCCAGTCTCAGATTTAACATAGTTACTACAGCCACTCAAAAAATACCAAAAGTGAATCCTTTTACCTGGCTGAAGCAGCAGACACTTTAGCTTTAACAGACTCAGAGAAGGCAAGGAACTCAAATGAATTCAGTTTGCGAGGAGCATCAGGTGATGGTTGGCGAAAGAAAATCCTATACAAGCACAAAATTCATCAGTAAGACAATGATTGTTGTGTGAAAGAAACTACTTCTAGACAGTACGGAAACCATGAAAGAATCTCTGTGATGAAAGTTCCAAGATGATAACAATCAAGCACAAATAAACTTCTGTGAAATGCCGCTATGTATCATCTTTTTCATGTATATAATTACACAGTGATTAATCACACAGTGTCTGGAGTTGCAATGAGGTAGCAGTGAACTAGATAATTGCTTTTAGAATGTCAAGAAGTTCTTTCCATGAATATAAGCTGTAGTGGAGCCAGGTTTTAAAAAAAAAACATATCTTTTTATGAACAAAGGAATTTTCCTTCAAGAGAACTCTAGAAAGGCCAGTTTGCAGTAAACTGTTACAAGTAACCACTTATAGGACAATAAGGACAATTAGCAACAACCTTGCTTCAACTAGAAATTTTAGCATGATGCATATCATTTGCTTCTCAAACCATTACAATTACATCATGGTTGACGTATAATGTTTACATTTGATACAATTAAAACTGTAATTTTGAAAATATTAGCAAGCTACGTTGCAAGAAAAATCATAAGAACAAAGGCCTTTTTGTCTAACAAGGTTTTCTGACGGCTATTAGTAGAACAGCTCTCTTGTAGTGTGTAATCCAGTTACTCCCATGGTTTGTTTATATTTCAAGTCGGACAGATTATTTCTCAATGTAACATTGATGAGCATAATGTAAAGAACAGTAAGCATAGAGGACCGGTACCTCCTTTAAGCCATTCAATTAAATTTAATTTTAGAAACATGCAAGAGTAACAGTTCCAGCTGTACCTATGGCCAACATGACCATCTCCAGTTTCAGGAGTCATGGATGTCACATCCACAACAGAAGGAACTGCTGATGATGCTTCTACCTCAATGGTGCTAGCTGGTGCACCTGTAGTAACTAAACCACCCTCCAACCCATAAGTCAAGTTAATCCCAATTTCCGAAGGGACAGTAGGGAATACTTCGGAAGAATCTAGTCGTGATGCTGTTTGCCTTCTGCTTCTGTTAACATGACGGGCTCTGCTTGTAGCAGCAGCAAAATGCTGCAGAAATTGCTCCTCCTCATCAGGATCAATTACATAAGAAGAATCCTTGAAACAAAAAACAGAAAAATGTTCTCAGCACAAGGAATGAAGACATTGAAGAAACATACATGGAATTTAGAGTTGCTATACTACTTACGTGGTTCACTTCAGGACCCTCATAAACAACACGGATACTACTTCTTGCTCTCTTGCTTCTCTCAACTTTTGCAGCACATAAAAGCTCTTGGCTGGAGAAGGGAATTAAACAGTGGTAGTATAAGAAATCAGAAAAATTCAATGCAGTAAAAACAAGAGAAGAAAAGATAGTGAAACAAATTAACCAATAAAATCTTTACATATTAGGCTTGCATCATACCTGGTGGGATCCTTTAATTCAAGAAGTTGGCAACATATAGGGCATTCTGTGCTTCTCTGTGACCTGAAACGGGCATATACCGGTCAATTAACAAAAATCTGATAGCTGATATTCACACGGAGCCCTCAAAACATGGAAGACTTTTTTTTTTTTGGGAAAGGGGGGGGGGGTGTGGGGGAAGAATGCACTATGTTTGACAAACAACGAAGAAACCCACCATTCAAGAATACACTGCAAATGATACTCATGCTTACAATTGGTGACCTGAAAAGAAAACAAGTCAAGAAGTTAATAACAGTATCAATGATCGCAAAGAAAACAAATAATCCTTGTACAACTCCAGGTACAGATGCAGAGTAGCGCAGCAGAAACTACATTTGGATGCAAACGGAGAGGCAACTAAACAAAAACAATATTCTGAAAAGGGTAACCAAAAATATAAAGTTGTCAATGCAGTGAGGTATATTTGCTCTCAAGTTCTTTTATAATCCCAGAATACCAAGACAAAAATAACAAGCTGCATAGGATTAGTCTAAAACTAGAAAAGTAATCTCATTTAGCTTGGGAAATGTTTTGATCGAAACAACCAACAGAAAAGTAAAAAAATGGCCCTTAAAAGTACACTAGAGTCATCAAATCATAGAAAGATGGTTACCATAGAATTGCAGTTTCATCACTTAGAATAATCTACCAATCAAGAAAAAAATGATCAGCAGATTACTCTTAAGGTATAACTCCATCCAACATAGCATTGCAAACTGATTGAATATTGCTTTAATAAAAAACAAGGCCCCAACTTTACATGTGTTTGCCTGTTTTAGTAACATATAAGTCACGTGGCATTACATCAATAATTGCTGTAAAAACCAGAAAAATTTTTAAAGATCAGAAATCACCTACTATATAATCCATACAAGAAACAAAGAAAGAATTCAATTGAAACTAAAAAAGGAACAAAAGAGAGAGAGAGAGAGAGAGAGAGGAACACTTATTCTAGTTCAAAATCTTGTAAATAGTATAAAATTTTTTTCTGCAAAAATTCTCTAATTTTAAGTAATAAGACAATGAATTTTATCGACCCCAAAACGACCCGTAATTCATCAAGGAGAGACCTTTGGATATATAGAGAGAGAAGGAGCGAGAAGAGAGTACAGTGGGAGGATCGTGTGAGCTGAAAGGCTCCAGACAAATGCTACATCCGTCCTCGAAACAGTCGTCCGAAACGGCGACGTCGCCGGCGGCATTGTCTGGTGCCGGAAATGAGGATGATGGTGTGCTGATCGTCATGGTCTTCATGATCGTTGATGGATTGTCGGATGAGATGATCGTCTCAGTAGCCATTGTGGAAAAAATTAATCGTAAAAGTGACTAATTTAGCTCAGCTCAGCTCAGCTCACGCACTCAATGTGTGTAATTGTATGTGTGTGGAAAGAGGACGAGGCCGAAGAGACGGAGAATTTAAGAAGAAAAGGAATAGAAATACTACTAGTAAGTACTAATACTACAACAGTTATTTTGACAAAAAAAAAAAAAAAAGGTGATACGAAATAATCAATCACTTTTAAAAAAAAAAAAAGAATACGAAATAAGTTTTCTTAAACCAATTACAAAAAAAAAAAAAAAAAAAAAAAGAGGAAGGAGACGAGAGGAAATGCTGGAAGAGTGTAGAGAGGAAAGGGCCGAGTATTCCTGCGTAAAAAGGTCAAGAAAAAGCAGTGGACAAATGTTAAAAATGGAGCATTACAACCTTATAATAATCGACGAATAGTGCTTAGCACCTGAATTAATGAAAATCCAAGCAATGAATTCCGTTTTAGACGGTGGTTGTGTGGAATCAATCAACGCCCTTTTACCATTTCCACCTTCCCTTCTTTCCTTTCCCCCTTCCTTCTTATCGTTTGGAGACT